TGCTCAGCGACCTTCCCATAAAGCTCCTGCCCGAAACTGTCTATAAGCCTCTCCCAGCCCACCTCTGGAGCTCCTCCTGGCTCCTCTCCCCTAGAGCGCCTTTTATGACCCTTCTTACCTCAACTGCAAATATCTCCAGAGTACTGACAATGCTTATTTTTGAAATAAAATATATCTCTTGGTACGGGCACGGTGGCTCATGCCTGTAATCCCAGCACTTTGGGAGGCCGAGGCAAGCTGATCATGAGGTCAGGAGTTCGAGACCAGCCTGGCCAACGTGGTGAAAACCTGTCTCTACTAAAAATACAAAAATTAGCTGGGCGTGGTGACACATGCCTATAATCCCAGCTACTCAAGAGGCTGAGGCAGGAGAATCACTTGAACTCAGGCTCAGGAAGCAGAGGTTGCAATAAGCCGAGACTGCGCCATTGCACTCCAGCCTGGGTGACAGAGTGAGATTTTTGTCTCAAAAACAAAAAAAAAAGAAAGAAAAAGTCTCTTCTCCCAATTGTAAGAGAAATAATAGGTTCATTTTGGAAAATTTGGGAAAGGAACAAAAATTAAAATCAATCTTAGCCTCAATTCCCAGAGACAACCACTGTTAATACTCTGATGATATCCTTCTGTGCTTAAATTTTTAAATCCACAAATTTATATTAAGCACTGGGACATGTACTATATATGATCTTATAACTCTTTGTCATGTTCTTTAACAATGGAAAGCATTATCTTCAAAACTATGATTTTAATATTAATTATATTTCACTGTATGAATGAACCACAATTCTAAGTCTCCCTCCCCATATTTAAAAAATATAACTACTGCTATCATGAACATCTTTGTCGGTAAAATTTTACTGGTTTTATTGCTTTTTATTTTCCATATTTCATTTCAATAGCAGGTTTTATTACCTTTTTAGGATGGAGTCCAAGAAGGGTAGGTATCGAGTAAAAAGGACCTTTTTTTTTTTTTGAGACAGAGTCTCACTCTGTCACCCAAACTGGAGTACAGTGGCACAATCTCAGCTCACTGCAACCTCCACCTACCAGGTTCAAGTGATTCTTGTGTCTCAGCCTCCCAAGTAGCTGGGATGACAGGCATGTACCACCACACCCAGCTAATTTTTTGTATTATTAATAGAAACGGGGTTTTACCACGTTGGCCAGGCTGGTCTTGAATGCCTGATCTCAAGTGATCCGCCTGCCTCAGCCTCCTAAAAGTTTGGGATTACAGGTATAAGCCATTGCACCTGGCCAAAAAAGGACCTCTCCCTGCCCCCACCCTCCCTGCGACAGTCTCTCACTCTGTGCCCAGGCTGGAGTGCAGTGGTGCGATCTCGGCTCACTGTAACCTCCACCTCCTGGGTTCAAGCGATTCTCCTGCCTCAGCCTCCCAAGTGGCTGGGACTACAGACATGAGCCACCATTCCCGGATAAGTGTTGCATTTTTATTAGAGATGGGGTTTCACCATGTTGGCCAGGCTGGTCTCAAACTCTTGATCTCAGGTGATCCACCCAAAGTGCTGTGATTACAGGCATGAACCACCATGCTCGGCCAAAAAAGGACCATTTTTAAGGCTCCTGATTTGTTTTGGCAAATTGTCTCCCAAAGATGGCTGCTCATATCACACTTTCCAAGCAGCATCTAGGGGAGCCCACTTTACTAATTTTGAGTATTAGCATTTTAAAGTTCTTTTGCTGGTATTTTTTAATGCCAACACCATTGCTGTATTTTTTGAATACAAAAAAAATATGGGACAGTAATCGCATGTAGATTCCCAGCAGCCGTCAGGGGACTCTCACATGAGCAGGGTTTTGGTGCTGTTGGTGGGCTTGCTCCTGGCCTGGAATATCAATCAGCTTCTAGCCTTTTCTGTAAATGAAACTTCTGGGTGGAATGGACCTTCAGGTTCCTCGTGCCCCTTTGGGCTCTCACTCTTCTCACTGGAAGAAGGCTCTCACAGGGGGAGAAACCCACAGCTATCCTCACCTGTGAATAAGGCATTCTAGCACCTGCCAGGCCTCACCTTGTTCTTGGCAAGCACGTTGGCTCCTGCTTTAACAAGCAGCTTGGCTGACTGGCTGAAACCATGCCAGGATGCTTCATGCAAGGCTGTATTCCCATCCTAAGGAAGACACACAGGTGGGAAAGGCACATTACCCAAGACCTAATTCTTCTCATTATGATCAATACATCACAGTGGATTTTTACGGAACACAAGAGGGACTTTCTCAATTGGACTTTTTCATCTGAGCCACAGACTACAGATGATGATTTGAATGGTCAGTTTCTCCATTATCCCAGAAATTATACATAAGAACCATTCTAGATGCACAGAAGAGAAATGAATCCATGACAAACCATGGATGATTGTTTATAAAGCATTAGGGGTTAAGTCTCTCTAGTAATCCCAGTTGAGAAAGGCTCCAGGCCCCATCTACAGCTCTCGTTTAACAGAAAGCATCATCAGGATGGCACGCCATCTATTTCTTCCCGCCTCTACCACCCTTAGAGTCTGCTCTGCTCCTGGCATCAGAGAGAACCCTGCAAAGGTCAGGCAAAGGAAGAGCTCAGCTTCATAAGATGCAGGGGCCTGATAGATTGCCCAATCTTTTTTCACTGAAACTTAATCTCACCCACCTTAATTCAAAAGCCTCAGGGCCCCAAACAAATAATGCACAGGGACTGAGGAAACAGTGATTTGGAAATAAACAAGTATCCTCAATGTGTGGCTTTGATTTTTTGAGACAGTCTCGTTCTGTCACCTAGAGTGGAGTGCAGTGGTGCGATCTCGGCTCACTGCCACCTCTGCCTCTGGAGTTCAAGTGATTCTCCTGCCTTAGCCTCCCAAGTAGCTGGAATTACAGGCATGCACCACTAAGCCTTGCTAATTTTTATATTTTCTAGTAGAGACAGGGTTTTACCATGTTGGCTAGGCTGGTCTTGAACTCCTGACCTCAAGTGATCCACTTGGCTTCCCACAGTGCTGGGATTACAGGTGTGAGCCACTGCGCCTGGCCTAATGTGTGCCTTTTACATAAAAATCATTTAATGGACATAGCTCATATTTGCTTAGCTTACTATTTTAAACAAATATCATTAAGTGCAATGAATTGAGTGGGGTGGGGGCAGGAAGACAGGAGTTCCAGGGAGGGAGGAGCCTGGAGAGGGAAAGGTGCAGGGCAATCAGCAGGGCTCAGCGCAGGTGCATTCTCCAATTACATCCAGGCTCTGGCTTCAGCTTTAACTCAACCACATCCATGCCCCTGGAAATAGCTAAAAATAAAGGCCTAACACAGGTGACATCCACAAGGGAAAGTCTAGGGTCTCAAAGGCCAGGGGATAGGGTGGTTGCTGGGAACTGTATTGGCGATGTGTGGACTGACTGGATTGGCAGTGGGACTGACTGTAGAAGGAGGAAGCCAAAGGAAAAGGGGACGCAGGGGAAAGGGGGGATGCAGGGGACAGGGGGCACAGGGTATGGGGCTTCTGGGTGCTGGCAATGAGTTGATTCACGAGCTGGGTGTTCACACAGGTGTGTTCTGCTAGTGAAATTCAACAAGCTGCACACTTATTTGTCCACTTTTCTGTATGTATATTATACTTTAATGAAAAGTTATTTTTAAAAAGTAAAGCAGAGTTCTTCCCAGCATGGCCTCTTAAAACAAAAAAAAAAGGTAAGCAGAGGCTGAATTGCACTTAATTGTGAAGTTTTGTGTTTTAAGATTGTTGGAAAATTTAAAAACATTAGGTTAATATGTAAGAAGTCATTAGGATTCCTTAAAGAATCAATTTTGCTTTTTTTTTTTTTTTTTGAGACGGAGTTTCCCTCTTGTTGCCCAAGCTGGAGTGCAATGGCGCGATCTTGGTTCACTGCAACCTCTGCCTCCTGGATTCGTTCTCCTGCCTCAGCCTCCCAATTAGCTGGGTTTACAGGTGTGTGCCGCCACGCCTGGCTAATTTTTTGTATTTTTAGTAGAAACGGGGTTTCACCATGTTAGCCAGGCTGTTCTCGAACTCCTGACCTCAGGTGATCTGCCTGCCTTGGCCTCCCAAAGTGCTGGGATTACAGGCGTGAGTCACTGCGTCTGGCCAATTTTGCTATCGATCTTATTTATTTATTTAGAGACAAGGTCTCACTCTGTCGTCCAGGCTGGAATGCAGTAACGTGATCATGGCTCACTGCAGTTTCAACTTCCTGGGCTCAGCAATCCTCCCATCTCAGCTTCCTGAGTAGCTGGGACTACAGGTGTGCACTACCACGCCTTGCTAATATATATATTTTTAATTTTCAAATTATTTGTGGAGACAGTGGTTATGTTGACTAGGCTAGTCTTGAAGTCCTGGCCTCAAGCAATCCTCCCACCTTAGCCTCCTAAAGTGCTGGGATTACAGCCATGAGCCACTGCGTTTGGCCCAATTGAGCTTACTTTTTTTCCTGCAATACAGTTTAAAGAAATTAACTTGCTCACTTATTTAAGAAAGTAAAGAGAAAGTCTGGGGGTACATCCCTTGCCCCCACCCCCACCCAGGCCTACACAGGTCCTTATTTCTATATTTTTTTCTTTACCATTTAAGATTTATGTGGTTGTCACTGATGCCATAGAACAAGGAAAAAGATTTTTAAAAAATACAATTGGCAGCTGGGCACAGTAGCTCATGCCAGCACTTTGGGAGGACGAGGTGGGAGGAGCGCTTGAGCCCAGAAGTTCCAGGTGAAGTGAGCTATGATCATGCCATTGCACTCCAGTCTGGGCAACAGAGTGAGACCCTCTCTCAAAAAAAAAAAAAAAAATTACAATTGGCTGGGATACTGTTTCAAAGGAATTTTGGGCCGATTTAATCATGTTAAATCATAAGTGGTAAGACAGGAATTATAATATCTTGAGGACTCAAAAGTTTCCAGAGTGGGCTCCTCTAGCTCCCTCGAGCCACTAGCTTCCCTCGCCTTGAGGAGTAAGCAAGCTCAGTGCCCACTCACCTTGTCTTGTCTGTCCAGGGCACACCCCTCGTGGATGAGTGCCGCGATGATCTCTGTGTTCCCGACCACTGTGGCCCGGTGCAAGGCGGTCTGGTCCCCCTGCAAAATGACACAAAGGCAGGAACAGCAGTCAACTCCCCTGCACGCCCTGCTTGCACTACTCACTTGACACTTGGACACAAGGGCCCCTCCCATCCCCACACAGAGCAGAGTGGTTATTCGCAGAAGGGCTTGGTTACCGCAGGCAAGGCGGGCTTTGTGGTCTTGTTAGTAGACAACGCATACTGGCAGAGCAGTCTGGTTCATAAACTAAGAGGGAGACCTTAAGCCAACAGCAAGAATAGCCCTCGGCCACAAAGCCAACCTCAGAATGAGGGTCAGGCTCTCTCCTGCCATCCAGGGGACATGACTATCACAGGTGTGAAGAGTGGGTGTGAGGGCAGGTGTGTGCTATGCAATTAAAGCAGCAATGCTTGCCGAGTTCCCAGTTTGCAGGGGGACCACTGCCAGTTAGCAGCACTCATGATTTGATGACAGGCGAGTCATTTGTTCATTGACTTGTACTAGTCAAGAGCAATGCAGGGGTTTGCCCTATTTCATCTGAGGACTCCAGGGCCTGCAGCTATCACTGCATGTTTCTAAGAAGCCTCTTCAGAGATTTCATGACAACATCCTCACTGATTTATGCTGCACTCTGAGCCCTTTTCTCTGTGATCAGATTCCTGGGATTGCCGGCCGTTGTTCTCCTTTAGGCACCAAAGGGAACTTGACTCTTCCTAATTGCAGTTGAGTGAAGGATGAAACACTCTCAGAGGTAAGTAGGTCAAGACTGTAACAGGAGAGCTCTGAAGTCTCTAAGAGCACCCTTTATCTCTGACAGGTCCTCAGGAAGCTAAGTTGAGGTAAACCAAGCTAAGCCTGTGGTCCAGCCTTGAAAGGGAGGATGGGTGGGCAGTGAGGAAATGCTCTGGTGGAAAGCAATGAGCACGACACAAGGGGTCAGTAGGCCTGGGCTGTGCACAGCTTGCTAGAAGCCTGTCACCCTGCTGGACCTCAGGTGTGTCACCCTGGATGATCCCCAGGGTCCCTCCATTCCCTTCTTGGATACTATGATTTGGCTGGTCAGAGTTTTGTGAAGTTTCCTGGCAGAGCACCAGAGGGGCAAAGGAAACATTCTGGGGCGTCCCTGGTGCTTGGCCCAACAGAGGACAGAGGTCATCATAAGATAAAACAGATTTTTAAAAAGAAGGATGCACTGCTACCTATTAACAACCTTAACGAAATACTGATTTTACTTATTAAACTCCCCGGATCTATAACAAACGACAATGCACACTAAAAACATGTAATCTGTAACAAAGTTCTAAAGATAGACGGTGGTGATGGCTGCACAACAATGTGAGTGTAATTAATGCCACTGAACCGTATACGTAAATATGTTCAGATGGTAAATTTAATGCTATGTATATTTTATCGCAATAAAAAAATCCTAGTTAAAACTCAAAATTGCTTTCTTAAAATTAAAAAAGTCTCCCTTTAAAAATCCTTGAGACGATTTTTCTTTTAACTTTTCTTTTTATACTTTTTAATATTTTCCAGCTTTTTATATTTAACACAGATAACTTTTAGCATCAGGAAAAACCACCACTTATTAGAAGTCTGAGCAGAAACAATATCCCAGTAACAGGACTGTCCCTGTCACACACTCTTCCCACTGTTCATTTGCGGAAGGTAAGGAATTTCTGCAGTGAGGGGGTCAGGACACCGAGGACAGGTCACAGTCCTCAGCACTGCCACCACCGACCCTCACCCTTCAGCATCCTAAACTATTATTCCCGTTATCAGTTAGGCTCAGGCTGGTCTTCTTCTCATCCACCTTCCCAGGCCCTTTATTCAAAGAGAACCCTTGCTGTGGTTAAAAGAAGAATGTGGCCGCTGGGTCAGTGGCTGCAGGAGGTAGGCTGTGCCATTTGTGCTATCTACCTGAGACCTATTACAAATAGTTCTAGACAAGGAAACTAGTAATCATACGAGATACTGCCCAAGTCTCAACTTGTTGTTTTTGTTTTGAGACAGAGTCTTACCCTGTCGCCCAGGCTGGAGTGCAGTGGCGCCATCTTGGCTCACTGCAACCTCTGCCTCCCAGGTTCAAGCAATTCTTCTGCCTCAGCCTCCAGAGTAGCTGGGATTACAGACACTTGCCACATGCCTAATTTTTTTTGTATTTTTAGTAGAGATGAGGTTTCACCATGTTGGCCAGGCTGGACTTGAACTCCTGGCCTCAAGTGATCTGCCCACCTCGGCCTCCCAGTGTTGGGATTATAGGCGTGAACCACTGTACTGTGCCTGGCCCCAAGTCTCAACTTTTTAAAATTTCCATAAGATTTCCAAGACTTCCCATTTCCCTATCAGAATGGTGATGGAGTTTCCCAAAATAGGCCTCTGGTGCGATTGATGATCACTGACCTGCTGAGAAAGACGGTGCGCTTCTTAGCAAGAACCATGCGATTGCAGCTCACGCTTTCAGGGTAGTACTGACTTGGTTAGATTTCCACTTCTTACAGGCTTTTAAATATAACCACAAACTACCTACACTCTAGTGCTCTTTGGACCATTACAAACAACCTTTTTCCAGGACAAAACTTACCACTCTGTATTTTTTATAAAGTGTGAGCAACAAGCCCTGAGCATATGAGTCATGTTAGCCACTCTTGCTATACAAATTACTTCATGAAGGGCCTTCACGGGATGATAGGGCACAGTCTAACCTAAGCCGTGGTTTAGGTCAAATGTTTTTATCATGTTTCACAAGCTGCCCTCTAAATTATGAGTTGAGGCATCTTTGGAGCCAGAATGGCACCGAAGTATTTATTACTTGCTTTCATCATCAATCTACTCTATTTGCTGTCTTTGAGAAAATTTTCCTTTGTGAAACTCTAGCTCAATGTAAGCAACTCAATCTAACTTTCAGTTCAGACCTTAGGAGGAAATTTCCAGACTAGCAAGACTCAAGGAGATCTAATGACTTGTGTGAGGTTGCGGAGAGAACACAAATTGTACTAAGCTGCTGGCACAGGTCCTGCACACCCCTTCCTCTGGGGGACCTTTTGGCTGTCCTGCCTGTCTCCAGGCCATAGCTCCCCATCCCGCTGTCCTCTCAGACAGAGACCTCACTGAGAGCCCAGGTCAGATAAACACTGCTGTCAGGCCAGGCTCGGACTCTTCCTACCCAAAGTGGCTGTCCTTGGCCAGACTGCTACTGTGCTGACACTAGCTGGAATGGTTCTGGAGGACTGAGCAATAGCTTTCTCAGGCTTTGAAAAACCCGGCCTTCTCAAGTCACCAAGATGAGAATTAAAGGCTCTGAGGTGAGGGACATGAAACATGTAAACAATGGTTGCCTCAGGTTATCGTCTGGGATCTATTCTTCCTTAGAATACAACACAAACAATTTAGCACCTTGAGGCCCTCAGTGGAAACAGGGTCAGTTACCTACAAATGGACTCTTTCCTCCTATAACATTAAAATTTACCATTGAAACATTTCCTCCTTGAAGTGACACAGAGAAGAACAAGATGTGGCCTCAACACTTACAAGTGGCTACTTTGACATAATTCTTACTTGTATATGACACCTAAGTCAATCATGAAATTCTGAAATGCTGGGAAAAGGTAGAGCACTCTCAACAGTGTTTACTGAATTATCTATTCGGTGAACATTCATTCATTTTGAGACAGGGTCTCACTCTGTCACCTATGCTAGAGTGCAGTGGCATGATCTCAGCTTACTGCAACCTCCACCTCCCAGGCTCAATCAATCTTCCCACTTCAGCCTCCTGAGCAGCTGGGACCACAGGCATTTGCCACCATGCCCAGCTAATTTTTTTATTTTTGGTAGAGATAGAGTTTTGCCATGTTGCCCAGGCTGGTCTCCAACTCCTGGGTTCAAGCGATCCTTCCTCCATAGCCACCCAAAGCACTGGGATTACAGGTGTGAGCCACCAGGCCTGGCCTGAATATTTATTGACTCCCTCCTGTGTGCCAAGTCTAATTCTCTCATTTTATTGATGTCTAATTCTCTCATTTTATTGATAAACCTAGGATAGCATGCTTGGACCAGAAATCAAATTGTCGAGGCTCTTTGCACTCACCCCAAGCTGCTTCCATCCTGTGAAGTCATTAACCTTAAGACAAGCCCCAGAAAAGGTCAGATGCATCTGTGGGGTTGGGACTGTCTCTTTCATAAAGTAAAGCATAGCCACTAGAGCTGCCCCAAAAGCATTTGTTGAATGATTAACTACAAGAAGCAGAAGGAAAGACGCTGTAGCTGGAAACCTGAAGGGCCTGCAGCCTTGCAGTTTGGCACGTTGATTTGGAACACGTTGACCTATTTGCAAAGTATGTGAACTGCCAGCTCTCAGTTTTTCTGAGACAGTGTTTCTCACTTTGGGATTTTAAGAGCTTTGGTGCCTATAAGGTCTAAATCCTTGTTTTGAAATACTGTTATTTTTCTTTCCTACATGGTGAAAAAGAGTGAGTGTAGTGTTGGCATATTCCAAAGGCCATGCTCATGGAGGAAATTCTCATCATGCAAGGGTGCAGTGTGCCCCTCTTCAGGAGGAATCACCCCCATGTGGCATATGCAGACATACTGCAAGGAAGCTCAAGACAGGTTAGGTGTGTAAAGCAAGTTGCTGACCTCTTTTTCTCTTTCTGATCTTCTAGGGTCCTTCCTAACCTTCCCTCTGTGGTTTTTCTTATTTTTATCTTCTTTCATGGCTTTCACTGCGGTCACAGCATCCTGGACTATTTCTGAGGCGGGGGCTACGTGATTGCTCATTGACCAATCAGAGATGGCATCAGCGCTCCAATGAGAGTTGACAGGATTGGCGGGAAGCAAGAGAGAATTTGCTCCTGGAGTTGCATAATATAAAGAACTGGTTTCCACAGGTTGAAATTCATAATAATCCCACTCCAGGTCACTGGAGGTCATTCTTCAACTAATTCTTAGTCCTTACCATGCCATAAAGATCGGTATCTGTAGAATATGAAGTTAGGAGTAAATTCTTCATATCATTAACATTCTGTTTCTACCCACCATCCAAGACAGGTAACTTCTGAGATTTTTTTCAAATAACTGATCTCCTAGATTCTTTAAAGGACACACATCAAGAGTTTTCTTCCTTGGGTTCTTGCATGTATTTCAAGGCTGGCCATCAACAGCATGGTAAATATACAGAGAACAGGCATGGATCATATGATGGTAAATACATTTCTTCAGAACTAGTGAAGGTCAATTCTACCTTCTCCACTCCCAACTGTTTCTTGTTGTTGTACTTTTGTTTTAATTTATCTGGGAGAAGCAATATATGCATTGTCTGTCTAGGACAAGGAAAAGATGCAAGAAAATAACTTCAATAAATAAAAGGGGATCTTTCTGTCTAAAAGTAGAGCTGGCTTTTCTTCTGCTGACACGTCTCACTTTGGCTACCTAAAAAAATTCTTGCCTGTTTCACTTCCTACCTTGCCTGGTATAAACAGCAGCAGTTCTAGGAAATTAGCAAGGGCTTTGCTGCATGAGAATACAGTGATACTTAGAGACCACGATGTGAGGTAGGGGTATCAGGTTGGAATGGGTTAGCACGCCTGACATTTTGGCCTTGCCACTGTGGCAAGAAAAGCCTTTAATTATGCGAAGAGAAGACCAAATGCATCCCAACACGTTTGCACCAGTAAAAACTCAGTGCCCCACCTTTTCTATGGTCAAAATCTTTTCTCTCTCCTTGTATTTTTGCTCCTGTCATCTAAGGTATGATATAGTTGAGAATGTTATGATGACCACAGTGCAGGAAAATAAAAAAAGTATTATGACCCAAGGTAGAAATCAACAGCTTAAAGCTAAATCAGCATTTTTTGAAAATAACATCCTTGATGACCCAACAAGTTCCAGATATAACCAGAGATTTATGAAAGACACTGGATGGCCTTCTGCCCATGCATATTTAGTTATTTCTTTGCAAATACTGTTCTTACTGTGTGTTTGCCAAGTTTTATGACATTATACATAGACCCAAAGAAGACTAGAAGCACTTTAGTAAACCACACTGTAGCACAGCTGAAGGTTTGAAATTTGAATCACACTCTTATAACTACAGTTATTAAAGGTGAATTTGGAAGAGGTTATAAGTGCAAACACTCCAAGATTCTGTGTTCCCCACAAAAGTTCTTATTTCTTAGAGTTCTACTACATGAATTAGTGTTGCAACCATTTCTAAAAATAGTTTTCAACTGTATTATCAAAGGGCCTTTTCCTAATAGCTGTTGGAGGACAATTTATATGGTCCTTTCTTAGAGAACCGCCTTCTCCAAAGACCCAAGAGGACAGCCCACTCTACTGTGTGACTCCATCCTAGCCACCGCTGACTCACGCAGGATTGGCCACTTGATGTCAGAGGAGCCAATCAGAGTCCATCTCTAGATAATCTGAATGAATAGACTCAGAGCTGA